ATCGATTATTAATTGATTGAAACCGATTGTTTCTCAACTTTAGTAAGATTGTACTAAAATTGTAATAAAATAAATTAATAACGCTTGAAACAGGATGCGGGTTTGTAGTAATCGATTACAATCTCTTATTTTGCCGAAATTTTGTCAATTTAAAACTATATACGAATTATATCTTATGTGTTATGATTTTTCTGTCATTAAAAAAATCTCTAAAAGAGAGATCTCTTGAACATTTTGTTTAATCAGAACACAAAGTTTTACCACGAAACAAAAGTTTCAAAAAGATACTTTCACATGAGTGGAAAGGTTCCCGCGGTAGATGAAAAACAAATCTTCCGATTCAATCATGAGACTAAATCAATTTGCCGATAATTTTTGGTGTTTGAAAAAGCTTAAAATATGCATCACAAAACAAAAACAAGAGACTATAATTAGAGCAATAAAAAATCGACATATCAACTTATCGACTTATCAATAAACTTATCAATTTGAATTAATTGGAAAACTTTAAAAATATTTTTGTCATTTTTCATACGAACCAATGTCTAAAAAAAGCATAACGTATAAGCAATTTAGATGCAAATTCGAAGAAAACATGGACAAACAAAAAGTATTATGATCAATTGTAATCGATTATAGTGAAATCTTGTGCAAAACTATAAAACTGGAAATTTTAGAAAAAATTAATGAATTATAATCAATTTCAATCGATTATAATTGTATCGAAAGTTAGACGAATAAATAATTGATTATAACCGATTATAATGGAATATAATTAATTATAATTTGATTATAAAAAGAGAGATTATTATCGATTTTTAATTGATTGAAACCGATTGTTTCTCAACTTTAGTAAGATTTGTACTAAAATTGTAATAAAATAAATTAATAACGCTTGAAACAGGATGCGGGTTTGTAGTAATCGATTACAATCTCTTATTTTGCCGAAATTTGGTCAATTCAAAACTATATACGAATTATATCTTATGGGTTATGATTTTTCTGTCATTGAAAAAATCTCTAAAAGAGAGATCTCTTGAACATTTTGTTTAATCAGAACACAAAGATTTACCACGAAACAAAAGTTTCAAAAAGATACTTTCACATGAGTGGAAAGGTTCCCGCGGTAGATGAAAAACAAATCTTCCGATTCAATCATGAGACTAAATCAATTTGCCGATAATTTTTGGTGTTTGAAAAAGCTTAAAATATGCATCACAAAACAAAAACAAGAGACTATAATTAGAGCAATAAATAATCGACATATCAACTTATCGACTTATCAATAAACTTATCAATTTGAATTAATTGGAAAACTTTAAAATTATTTTTGTCATTTTTCATACGAACCAATGTCTACAAAAAGCATAAAGTATAAGCAATTTAGATGCAAAGTCGAAGAAAAAATAGACAAACAAAAAGTATTATGATCAATTGTAATCGATTATAGTGGAATCTTGTGCAAAACTATAAAAATAGAAATTTTAGAAAAAATTAATGAATTATAATCAATTTCAATCGATTATAACTGTATCGAAAAATAGACGAATAAATAATTGATTATAACCGATTATAATGGATTATAATTAATTTTAATTTGATTATAAAAAGAGAGATTATTATCTATTATTAATTGATTGAAACCGATTGTTTCTCAACTTTAGTAAGATTTGTACTAGATTGTAATAAAATAAATTAATAACGCTTGAAACAGGATGCGGGTTTGTAGTAATCGATTACAATCTCTTATTTTGCCGAAATTTTGTCAATTCAAAACTATATACGAATTATATCTTATGTGTTATGATTTTTCTGTCATTAAAAAAATCTCTAAAAGAGAGATCTCTTGAACATTTTGTTTAATCAGAACACAAAGTTTTACCACGAAACAAAGGTTTCAAAAAGATACTTTCACATGAGTGGAAAGGTTCCCGCGGTAGATGAAAAATAAATCTTCCGATTCAATCATGAGACTAAATCAATTTGCTGATAATTTTTGGTGTTTGAAAAAGCTTAAAATATGCATCACAAAACAAGAACAAGAGACTATAGTTAGAGCAATAAATAATCGACATATCAACTTATCGACTTATCAATAAACTTATCAATTTGAATTAATTGGAAAACTTTAAAATTATTTTTGTCATTTTTCATACGAACCAATGTCTACAAAAAGCATAAAGTATAAGCAATTTAGATGCAAATTTGAAGAAAAAAAGAACAAACAAAAGGTATTATGATCAATTATAATCGATTATAGTGGAATCTTGTGCAAAACTATAAAACTAGAAATTTTAGAAAAAAATAATGGATTATAATTAATTTCAATCGATTATAATTGTATCAAAAATAGACGAATAAATAATCGATTATAATCGATCATAATGGATTATAATTAATTATAATTTGATTACAAAAAGAGATTATTATCGATTTTTAAATGATTAAAACCGATTGTTTCTCAACTTAAGTAAAATTGGTACTAAAATTGTAATAAAATCGTATATTATTGCTTGAAACAGGATGCGGGTTTGTACTAATCGATTACAATCTCCTATTTTGCCGAAATTTTGTCAATTCAAAACTATATACGAATTATATCTTATGGGTTATTATTTTTCTGTCAATAAAAAAACCTCTAAAAGAGAGATCTCTTGAACATTTTGGTTCATCAGAACAGAAAGTTTTACCACGAAACAAAAGTTTTATAGAGATACTTTCACATGAGTGGAAAGGTTCCCGCGGTAGATGAAAAATAAATCTTCCGATTCAATCATGAGACTAAATCAATTTGCTGATAATTTTTGGTGTTTAAAAAAGCTTAAATTTGGCATCACAAAACAAGAACAAGAGACTATAATTAGACCAATAAATAATCGACTTATCATTTTTTCGACTTATCAAAAAACTTATCAATTTGAATTAATTCGAAAACTTTAAAATTTTTTTATCATTTTTCATACGAACCAATGTCTACAAAAGCATAAAATATAAGCGATTTAGATGCAACTTTGAAGAAAAAATAAACAAACAAAAGGGATTATGATCAATTATAATCGATTGTAGTGGAATTTTGTGCAAACCTATAAAAATAAAAATTTTAGAAGAAAATAATGGATTATAATCAATTTCAATCGATTATAATTGTATCGAAAAATAGACGAATAAATAATCGATTATAATCGGTTATAATGGATTATAATTAATTAAAATTTGATTATAAAAAGAGAGATTATTATCGATTATTAATTGATTAAAACCGATTGTTTCTCAATTTTAGTAAGACTGGTACTGAAATCGTAATAAAATCGATTATTAACGCTTGAAACAGGATGCGGATTTGTACTAATCGATTACAATCTCTTATTTTGCCGAAATTTTGTCAATTCAAAACTATATTCGAATTATATTTTATGGGTTATTTTTTTTCTGTCAATAAAAAAATCACTAAAAGGAAGATCTCTTGAAAATTTTGGTTCATCAGAACACAAAGTTTTACCACGAAACAAAAGTTTCATAGAGATACTTTCACATGCGTGGAAAGGTTCCCGCGTTAGATAAAAATTAAGTCTTCCGATTCAATCATGAAACTAAATCAATTTGCTGATAATTTTCTGTTTAAAAAAGCTTGAAATTTGCATCACAAAATAACTCTAATGGGGAAGAAATGAAAAAAAAACTTATCACTTTGTTTTAATTGGAAAACTTTATAAATATTTTTCTCACTTTTCATAGGAACAACGTCTAGAAATTGCTCATAAAATATAAGCAATTTAAAAGCAACTTTGATGAAAAAATGGACAAACAACTGGGAATATAATCAATTAAAATCAATTAAATTTGATTTTTGTGCGAAACTAAAAAACTAGAAATTTTTTTAAAAAATGGACTAATATCAATTATAATCGATTATAATTGTATCGAAAAATATAAAAATAAATAATCGATTATAATCGATTATAATGGACTAAAATTAATTATAATTTGATTTTAAAAAGAGAGATTATAATCGATTATTAATTGATTAAAATCGATTGTTTCTCAATTTTAGTAAGACTGGTACTAAAATCGTAATATAATCGATTATTAATGCTTGAAACAGGATGCGAGTTCGTATTACAATTCTGTGTTCAGATTAACTAAAATCCGATAAAAACATATCACTCTGAAAGGTGCCTTTATTGACGTTATTGTCAGCATTGTAATAATTCATTTAGAATTTAATTTTTTTCGGGATCTCTATGAAACGTTCGTTTTCGAGGTGTACATTTGATCATAAGGTGATACGTCATCTTACCCTTATTGATTTCGTCATTGAAGTTATTGAGAGCAGTTTTCCAATCCGTTACAAAGCGTAATTTTGGTGTGATAAAATTTTAGCGAAACAAAAAATATAACCGATTATAAACATTATGCGAGACGTTCTCTAGGAACTTCAATCAAATAAAATTGATCATATTGATTTTCTAGCTTGGAAAATTTCACGACTATAATCGATTATATATCCTTTGAAAAACTAATTTCGGTATAACTATAAGCAATGATAATTCACCCAAAATCTACATAATAGTCAAAACGATATAATCAAATAATTGAGTCTAAAAATTGGATGCAGGCAAATAACTGTGCCTCCCCAAATCAACACAGGTAAAATAATACACCTGGCGTATACACCTGGTTGATAAAATTATGATACCCTAAAACCCCTTCTATGCCCTTCTCTTTGAGTTAGTTTTATAAAATAACCTTACAAAGAAAATTTACTCGGCACCTGGGCATTTAAAATGTTTTTTTAGCAACGCACCGTGTAGCGCAACAGCAACTGTTTATCTATGCTTGAGGTGGACATGAAGAGCACGCGAAAAAAAAATTGATGCAATTTTTTGAATTCTAATATATCGGAACTGCAGTGATCGGCATGGGTGGCGTCGGATTGTGAAATTGTAGACACAAAATGTGATGTAATCGCTCTTTTGCTGAGACCTTGTTGTATGTTATAGACATGGCGGACTATTCTTCTAATGCTGTTCGGCTTCTTCCTGTTCTACCTCATGATATTCCTGTTTGTGACGTCATCGACCAACATGGGAGCAGCCCCAGGCACAGACTCGATAGTGATGGAACAGCCCAAATTCGAATCCAGCAGAGAGCAGAACGGTCTGCTGCCCCCACAGATGTCATCCAGAATGAACAATGTTGCAAAGGGACCTTTAGAACTTGAGGGACCTTGTAGCAAGTTCAAGAGAAAACTAGATCTGCTTATTCTGATTTTAAGTGACAGTTACGACGAGAAAGGCAGAGATCTCATCCGGGCCACTTACGGTGGCTTGCAGCGCTTCGGAGAGTTTTACACCATGTCATATTTTCTGGTCGACGTCTCGAACGGAGTTCTGGAAGAAGCCAGTCTAATAAGCGAAATGAAAATAAACAACGATATCTCATTCTACATCAGTGAGTTCTCAATGTCCGGCACCGAATCGCTCAGTTTCAATATCTCAAACTTCCCCAAAACTGACAACTGGGTCAAGTCTTGCTTGCAAAACTCAAATGTGCTCTTGTATTTTGAACACATACAGCAATTGCAGTTGGAGGATCTGGTTGAAACTATATTGACATCTCCAAATTACGTAGTGCCCTCGGCCAGTCCACCATCAAGCATGTTCATAGCTTCCTCTTCATCATTATATGATACAATTGGTGCTAAAACAGCCGACTGGGGCGTGTACATTCCCAACAACCTGGATAGGTTCTACTCCCAAATTCCAGCCAGCAATACAAACATCCAGCAATTTTTTCTGCCCAGACCAGAAGGTACTTCAAATTTGACCGCAGATTCAGTGCCGGAATTGTTCAGGAGCTTGCTCATAACTGGGTACCAAAGTGGAGAGAGTGAGCTTGTGTTTAACAAGCTCAGAATAGAATCCAAGTACTCTAAGCGGAGACCCAAGACCGTGGAACCATCTGCCTGCCGCACAAGGATGCTACCGGGTGGTAGACCGCCGGGAGGTTGGCACAACACAGTGCGTGTTTTGCTGTTTGTTGACTCTCAAATCAAAAGGTTTCCTCAGAGGGACAGCATCAGGAAAACATTCGGGAAGACGCAGTTTGTGGAACGAAAAGGACACAAAATGGAAGTGTTCGTTCGTTTTCTGGCATCGCAGTACAAATATCTCCTGTTCAAGGTAATAATGCTAAAACAGCAAACGATAATTATCTTTCAAGGCGAGTTTTTTGCGACAAAGTTTGAAGTGTTTGCCTGTGGTCAATTTTTTTGTTGACGAATGTTTCCTTGTAGAAATTTGCTTGCTCTTAGGTTCAATAAGAGAAACGAGTGCTTTTTATGCGCATCTTGTCTTTTTTTAGTAGTTTCACGTATTGAGTTCCCAAACAGTGATCGCCATCAATGAATTAGCGCTAAACATTCACCCAAAATAGCAAGGAGTTGGGGATAATAAAATAAACTTGAGGGAGTCAATGGAATGCCCCCAGGGTTGCGGGGTGTTAATTGTGCGCGTAGGGGGAGGAGTTATCCCTCCCGTTTATCCGGGAGCGCTGCAACTTCAAAGAAAATCCGGAATTCCAAACTCAACTAAAAAAATTTGAAATAAGTATCGAAAAAAAAGGCAAGTTTTGATAAAATAAAATGCTTTTGTCGGTACAATCATTAGAAGAAAAATATATAATTTTATTCGATATTTTATTTCATTAGGACTGAATCTGAAAGGTTTAGTAATGAATAAGCGGTTAATTAGCAATTATTTATTGCTATTTTTGCGCCAATTTTTGTTAATTTTCCAAAGCTAAATCGCAAATCTTTTTTGTGTTCATCAATAAAAGATTGCTAATTCATAGATCTAAAAAATAATACGAAATGGTTTTAAGGCTAGATTAAAAAATTTTTCATCGATGATTCTTACTGAGAACTCAATTTAACTTTTTATCATACTGTGGTACTGCTCTGGCAGTCACCAAATAGATGGTAAAATATTGTTACGTAATCAGATTGAATGCCGGTCCTGATCAAAGTCAGCCATGGTGCGTGATCTAAAAGGTCACATTTATTTTCAGTATTTTGATGTATAGAATACGATTCAAAAGCTATTTCTACATATTCATAGAAAAACCTCTGTTCGTGCTCATTGAGTTCAGTATAAGGGACATGGGCCAAACGACCCCCCATGGCTAACCAAAACGTGGCTAGATCAGTTTTCGATGACGGCCAAGGTGAAGGATTGTGTGGATCCCCACACAAATCTCGAACCACCGACGTCCGTCATATTAGAACTAGAACCACGACCGGAATCTCTGCGATCAACACAACCCGGGGAGCCCAATTTCGTTTATCAATTAGACTACATTAAGACAATTCATAGAGACAGCACAAGCTGCAAAATTCAATCTTGCAGATAAATTGAATAATAACGAGCAGTTTGTTGTCTACATCAAAAAGCCAATAAAAATCCTATAAACTTAAGAACGAAAACGACATCAGCGGGGTGGATAATTTCAGAAGTCATTGTCTTGATATCTGAAAGAAAAACGAAAATCATACTAGGATCAGATCTGCAAAAAATAGGAAACTGAACACGACGTACTACAATGTGACGATGAGGCGCGAGACTACAAACAAGAATTATTTGAGAAGTTTAAAATCTCTTTGCTCGAAACTGAGTATCAATAAAACACTTCAATGCTTCAAATTTTTTTTAGCCCGACTTAAGAATTAGACAGACGTGTCCCGATACACATTCAGGAAAAAGTGGAACGAGAAGTAGAAAAGCTGTTGAATCAAGAACAAATACAAAACTTGACAAATGACCAGCGACTGTTTTTTTGCACCAATTGTCAACACAGTTAAAAAGAAAGATACAGTAAATTTTGCATTAGATGCGATACCAATCAATCGAAAGTTATATAGAAATAAATGTCAGATGCCAAATGTTAATAACTTATTAGATGGGGTGAGTCAGATTGTTTCAGAATAAAAAGAAGGAACATCCTTTTTTTCCGTATTAGGTTTAGAGTACGCATAACAGCCAGCTATAACTAAGTGCAGAAACTACCAATCAATGTGAATTTTACATCGTTGGGAAAATGCTACCGTGGCATATCGCATTCTGACAGGTGACTACGGGCTGGCGACTACGTTTCAGAGAGCGATGAACGGTATTCTCAAACACGAGTAGAACACGTTCTGCTTTCTGGACGAGATCCTAAAACTGTCACAAAGGAATAAAGAAGATCACCTCCGTTTAGTGAAAACTGTTATGAAAAGGTTAGATGACAAAAACTTAGCATTGAAAATTGTTGAAGAGCGTGTTTTTATCAACGAAAATCATTGTTAACGACACCAACTGTCAATCACTGGGGTTGTTGCTGTTGTTATTGCATATGGACGGGCGTCAGTGGAGACTGCTGTCGCAGTGTCTTCACTACCAACGCCATCGTCAAGGAGGGTTCTTCTGTCAAGATGCCGAGAGTTGTGACTGTCCAACCGAAGAGTTCGAAACGGGCTGCTATATTTTCTGCACATAGGGTCGACTGAGGGTCTATCAGGTTCCTGTACGCTCCAAACGCTGCGTGGTGACCGAACCTCAGACGAGCGAGTGTAATCGCATCCTTTCTCGTTTTAATAGCCTCTTGATCTTTCCTTCGCGTGAGTTTGCTGTAAACAGCGGCTACCCTAGGGTGTAAGTGCGCACCATCCTTGATTGTTCTCTTGATGCAGGCACTAACCGCTGCTAGGGGCACGGGTTTAGGCGTGTATTCACTAATCGTGGCTGCGTTCGCCAGAGTATCTGCCATCTCGTTGTCTGGGATGCTCACTGGCTTGGGATCTATTGTATCGTTGTCTTAGCTGATGCGTTTTCCTGGTTCGTTCTGAGCTAACCTGTGTCTTCCGATGTGTTTTTGAGAGACTGAACTAGAGACTGGCTATCCGTACAAATCAGGACCTTCAGGATGTTATCCTCTGCATTTCTGAGTCACTCGGTCGCACTCAGCATCGCTTCTAGTTCCTCCTCGTTCGACGACTTCAGATCCCTGCCTTTGATCTTCATCTCAGTCACCACTGTCGGGTTTTCAGGGTCGCCTCTGGTATCACCAAACCTCGCTCCTCCCTTGCTGGTGCCTGCAGCCGCTGATTTGTCAGTGTAGATGACGACGTCCGCCCCGTGTTCTGTGACGAGCTTCAGTGCCTTCTCGTCTCCTTTAACCGTGCGGTTTTCTCCTTCCAGCTGATGGTGGGCTTTCCAGTTGTTTTTGAGCTCTTTCCAGGGTGGTTGCGCCTGTCTTGTGCCCTCTCTGTTCTCCAGCTCTGCAGTCAGTTGCTCTCCGACACGTCTCGCCTGCTCTCTCCATTTACTTCTCGTGAGTCTTTGAGGGCGGCCCCGTCTGCTGGCAACTTCTCTCGGGTGGTTGATGGGGGCTCACTTTGCCTTCTCCCAGGACACAGCAGTGAGCCTTTTGCTGGTTTTGTGGTAGCTGGGTACGTTTGCCTCCAGTCTGACTGCTTCCACCAGTGTGGAACAGGCTTGCCCAGTCACTCTTCTGAGCTCCTTGTACTGCTAACGTTCCAGCCTGTCCAGCTGGGTCGCCGAGTGCCAGGATTACCAACCCGGCGCGGAGTAGCCCAGAAAGCTTTTTCTGCGTGGCTGTGAAAAGTTTCCTGAGATGCTCAGTTTTCCAGTCGAAGTCGAAGGCCCTAAGAACAGCCAGCGCTCTGCACCGGTCGCTCACTGTCGTGGAAACGTTTTTCAGCATGCTTTTGAAAGGAAAGGATTCTGCCCAGAGAGACTCCCAATAACTTCAGGTTTGGGTTGTACTCGTTTTTCTTCCCATCATTGACACCCACTTGGCGTCTCCTGACCCAGCAGCAAAGAAGGTGGACTCGGTCTTGTTCTTCTCGGTGTTGATAATCATCTTCTTCTGACGTGCCCAGTCAGCAAAGTTCTGCACTGCCACTTGCGCTCTTCTATTGGCCACCTTCAGGGAGTTGTTGGACACCCAAATCGATATGTCGGCGAAAAAGGCTCTCCAGACATCAGCTGGGATGACATCGGTCGTCTCGGCTCCCACCGGACGATTCCATGGCTGGATACATTGGTCCCGCTTCTTTCGTCGCGATAACTCGGGGCTCCTCGTGAAGGATGCATTCATGACCCGGATTACTGAGGTGATACCGAAAACATCGCTGCCGGAAGCGGTTACGAATGTGAGCCCTCCGAAAACTTTAAAGCATTTGATTTGGTTCTTAGGCAGCATTACTCTTTTTTGTAAACTTTACAGCTAATGCCGCTACTTGAGAAAAGGTTTGAAACAACTCTTTATAGAAGAAAAAGTGAAAAAAACGGATGAAAACACTGAAAGAATCGTTGAACAGTTTCAGTTGGGCAATTTTACTTACAGAATTTTTCTTAAAAAAGCAAAAAGACGATAGGAAATATTTAGAAAATCCGTTTTTAGAGCCCAACGCAAAAATTCAGCGTAAAACGCGACACAAGCTATGAGGGTTTGGGACTACATTAGAGCAACGGAATGACCTCGGCGAGTGGGTACCAATATCATTCGCATCACGTTAAAATAAAATACAAGAAAAGAAATTCTCAACCATTGAATTAGAATTGTTGCCAGTAATATGGGCAACAAATACATTAAAACATGCCTTCCTAGAAAAGAAGTTGACAGTTGCTACAGACCATCAAGCTCTACTGAGGAGCAAACAGAGCCAATAAAACTTGTTAATCCAAATTAACAAGATGGCTGGGTAGGTTGCTACCTTTCCAATTTCAAATCTTTTATCTACCTGGAAACCATCGAGGGAACCCATGAAAAAACAGATTATGATGAAAAACTCGTAGTAGCGTAAATTGAAAAATTTCATGAGGCATTAGGCTGCATTGGCAGTCGATTAAACGAACGCGTGGAGCCCAAACGGTCAAAAACTGAACAAAGCTCGACCGGAACAGAAAGGGATGGGTTACTAATTGAACAACGCGTAATCCGGAGACTTTCTTAAGTTTCTGTTACAACATTTAGGCGCCAAGAAAGACGAACCGGAGAAAGAAAAAGAGACTAGGCCTGAAGTTATCACAAATTTCGAACAACTCGAAAGGGTAGGCCGTTGTAGAAACAGACGACATCGAAAAGGAACGAGGTTCAGCGATAAGCGAAGAAAAAAACACAAGCAAGGGGGCCAAAAGTCAGATGGAGTTAGCCGACAGTGTTGAGTTGACGAAAGGCGAACAGATGTGGGAACACGCAAAAATGAAAACGTTTGGCGAGCTCTTGTCTGGACCGAGCTCTGAGGAACTGAGCAGGGTTACATCCCATTAGGTGACATTAAGGGCTGAAGTGGATCGTAAACAATTGAACAGTAACAATAACAGTCCAAAGAATTAGAATATTGCCAGTCAGATTTAGGAAACTCGAGAAGTTTCGTTTCGTTTCGTTTGGAAGACAATCAAATCGTTTTACCAGTACAAGCAGTTTGTTTTGTGAAAGGACAGCATCAACTGTCACAACAGCTAAATACAGAAGAGATACATAGCCTGGAGAAATTCTCTGATAAAATCCTGCTTGCAGAACTAATCACTGGGCTTGAAAGGATGGGACGAGCCTTCGAAATTAAAAACCAGCCGAGAGTTTATGAGATTGGACCCTACACAGAACCCTTGTGGAAGCAAATGAGCGTGGTTGGCATCTGCATACTGGTGGACAGCAAACTCTCGGTGCGTGGAGAAAATGAAGAAAGCAGTGCTGAAACGTCATTCGGGAAAAAAGCTAAGTTAGGCGTGTCCATGTATCTATGGCGGCCACATATGCATAAAGATATCATGACTATGACCGAAGAAAGCAAAAAGTGTACTGGATATGGTAAGAAACTAAAATATCTAATTCCAAAAATTGCGTCAAAACCATTAGCACTCTTAGCACAGCTCGGACAGAAGGTACGTGGAGCCAATTAAAACAAACAAAGAAAAAGAGTTTTACCTTCTACTAGTTTGATCGTTTCTCAATTTTTTCTTCAGCGAAATTTAAAACTTATTCCCGGTACTAATTTACTCTACCGGTAGTGAAACTAGAGTGAAATTCCTCACAAGTTATATAGAGACCCACGCAATACACACGCATTTAGGAGAGACCACTTCCCAGGGTTTAAGTGAAAAAGTTTAATTTTTTTTTTAGCAAAGTACACCATCAAGCATTTCTTCTGCCCAGTTTGTGATTATCGAGGCTTATTGAACGCTCGATACAAACGATAAAAGAAAGATTGGGGTTTATGCTGCTGTAGGGAAAGTGTTCCGTCAATTAGAGCCTGCTTAATAACAATAGTATGATATCTTAGATGGAAAGATGGCCTAAGCAAAAAACGGTGAACAAACACCGCTACTAGCTCACTTCCAAAACAGAATTTGAACTTTTGAGGAAAAAATTTGAATGAATTCTACCAATTTAAATAAACATCAATTACAGAGGTCAGCACTTACCACGTTTTAACTCAAATGACATGTTGATCAAAGCAGGGATAACGTAATATTTGAGCAAAAGGAACAAAGAAGGCCGAATTTCAAACAGCAGACAGCAAATCAAGAGAAGAGATAACAAAAACGGGAAAAAACGGGCGCCGAAAAATTTCCTGGAAGCAAATGCGGCCTAGAACGAAAAAGGGCGAGATACAGCCCGCAACGAAATGCAACATAGCATGGGAGATAGTACATAAAAATCCCAATCTGAAACGATAGTTGAAATATTTGGAAAAATTCGGTCAAATATAAGAAAAAACAGACCACAATCCAAAGAAAAACAAAACCAAAACGGACATTACGGATAGATAACCATCGATGAGTTGACCTAACAAAATTGTCTTGAAGAGCGCTGACAATTGAGAAGGCAGTCTCGATAAACCACGAAACAGAGTCAACCATCACTATCAAAAAGGTGACGCTATTTAAAAAATTGAACATGGTTATTGCAAAAGGAGAACTGGGGAAATCAAGAAGAGAAAAACCTTCATAGTTCAATCACAAGAGTGGGAAGCCAAAACAGTGATGTAGTCGACGCTAACGGACATTCAACAAAATTTGGTACGGGGCGTTCAACAAAGTTAATCAATGATAACAGTGATGGACACGGAAGCTAACGGCGGAATGATTTTGTGGTCTCAGCGATTGAAGCCGAGCAAAAGAGGCCCACGTCTGAAAACTCAGGATGAAGTCACAATAACGCCATCGGAAAAGAAACAAAAGCAGTCGGCACATGAGGCTAGAAAGTCAAAGAGAGCGACAGTGAATCGAAAAAGAAAAAGCAATCAGAAAAGAAACAACGACAGAAGAAACGCGTAACGAAATTGAAAAAGACAAAACGACTCACGACGAACGATTAGAAATTTCAGAAGAGATACTCAACAGAGGTATAGAGAAAAAGCGGTTGAAAGGATCTGTCTGAAGGACAGTCTACAGCCGAGTTCGTTAGACGAACTGGCGGAAACATTTCCGGAAGGGTCGGAAACAGCAGAAGAAACTATCAGGAAAGAACCTTATAGATGATGGCAGCAGCAGATGATGGCAGCAGCAGACGAGGTCAGAAGAAGCAAGAGTTCCGACAAAAACAAACAGCCGACCAGATATGGGAACTCGCTGAAACATCATTAGAGGAAAATTCACCTGAGGATGAAGAAGTGTCAAAAAACAAAAAAAGTGTCGCTAGAAACGTACATGACAGGGCTGGCAACACGAAGCTTTCGAGGAGACCCAATCGAGCATCGTTTCCAACAGTTGTTAAAATTACCTATTGACATGGACGTTCGGTTAAAAAGCGTAGGAGCTCGACAAAGTTTTCGTGGCAGAGTGGCTGACCAAACTAAGCCAAAAATTGGAAGTCAGAAGAAACTAGAAAATAAGTTAAAAGTCGGCCAACTGACAATTTTTGTACAAACCCTGACCAAAGTGGAGCTTAAAACTCTTGTTATTATAATGTAATAAGACTGAGTTAAAAAAAATCCCCGAAAAAAAGGAATGTGGTATTGCTACGACAGTAATCAAATAGTATGTAATGTGCTGTTACGTAATATGATATAATGACGGTTCTGATCAAGGTCAGGCACGGCGCTGGACCTAAAAAGTCATATTCGTTTTTAGTATGTTGATAAATAGATTACGATTCAATTGCTATTTCTACATACTCATAGAAAAGCCTCTGTTTGTTCTCAATGAATTCAGTATTATGGACGCTCTGTTTACAGACATACTATGAGAAAAACACGTACTTTGGGGTCGATATGACCTATTTTTAAGAAAAATGGTTATGACAGGACATAAAATTAAACGAATGGATATATTTTATAAGAGAATTTAAAAGACTGAGCAGTGGGTTCATTAAAAAGTAGTTTCTACTTTTAATCTATTATCTGGTCGAATGTCACATACTCCCGGACAGCCCGGTCAATGTCCTCATTGAGTCTCGTGGTGTTCAATAAAATGGCAGAGTGCCATCGAACAGAGTTTACAAAATGCATGAAATCACTTTTATCTACGTCACATCGACTCAATGCAGAATACAAATGACATCATACTACATTGTCAAAGCCTTCTAACTTTTTTCACTAATCTGCACTTTGAGGATATGGATCAAGATAAAACATCTCTTCTGATTTTTAGTGCCATTACCTCGATTTAAAACTTTTACTCCTAGGTTTAAAAGGAGTTGGGACACAGGAAAGTCCTGCCAACCAACAAACTAAAATTATCCTACTATGCTTCTTCCCTTCGGAAGTTTAATTGTTATTGGTCCTGAATATTAAAATATGAACATGGTGGTTGGAAGGAACAAGGAAATAATCTCCTTCTTCAAGAGGTTACACAAGCCCCTCATCTCACCACAAAGTGATCAGTCATCTTGATTGGTTAAAAACAACCATGCAGGCTAGAATATTTAATATACTTTTCACTTAAGCCTCTCTTAACAAATATTTAGTGTCTCTAGAGCCACTAACTAAAATTACAATGCAAATTTATAAAAGCAACTTACTTTCAAACTCAAAAATCAACTAAAAGTTCTTTTATCATTCAGTTTCAATTGCAAGATTGGTTGCTTGGTTTCTCATTTAAGTTTCTCTCACACACAAAAAATCTGAGTTTTAAAATCTTCTTCTCCTTAGTTACTTCTTTGTTCATTTTCCATTCTGGTCTTTCGTCGTTTAGAAGTTCTAAAACTTTTAAATTCTTCTAATCTTTCTCTTTCTTGTTTTCCGGCTCTTTGTCCTTGCTCCATCTCCTCCTCTTGCGACATTGACTCCGCACTTTCAGTTTCAGTATCTTGCAACACGTCGGTGACCATTCTGATGCTATTGGAGGCCGTCCTTCAACACCTCTGCTCTTCTACCTTTGTTTACAACGAGGTAGAGGGTCTACGCTAGTCTCCCTATTCCTGTAGAAGCTGTTGTGGTTGCACAACGTCAAGTTTCTCTCCAGGTCTTCCTTCGACATTTCTTTTCTTTCTCTCCCGTCACAATCACTTGTTCTGGACGTTCTTTTCACTGCGGTAGTCACTTCATTCCGATGCGTTACGAAAGCTCGCTTGAAAGCTCCCGACCCAAAGTCCTGCTGATAGGCACTGTACACTCTGCTGTGCTTCGAAATATCATGTTGGCTCTAAACCATGGCATCAGTCATCTTCTGGTCCATATCTTGAAGTGTTCTGGGTATCGGCTCTTGCACATCGGAGCCAACGTCGATCCTACTAGATATCGCGCTCCAGACGGTCTACGATCTCATGCTTTTGTTCTAGCTACAATAGTGACACTAAAGAAGCAAACATTCTGTAGAATCCTAGTGCAGTCACTAGATTCACCTCGGTCCTTCCGTGGCAATCTGCAATCAATTCCGTTTCCGTCTTTGCTTTCATCACTATATTCCTGAACAGTCTCCTTAATTGCTTGTGTTGTTTTGCAGATGTCTTTACTTGTTTTGCAGGTGTTTTGCAGGTGTCGAGACCTCCACATACATGAAATTCTAGTCCACAGACTTTCGGCAGATAGCAACTCCACATTGTTTTCTCTTGTGCTCCTAGAGGCTGTCGTCATCAAGTTATAAATGAAGTTAAGTTCAGGTAAGTTACAGTCTGAATTCAACTCCCTTTGCAAATCCTGTGTCGCACACAATATCAAATCAACTTTAGGGCTCGGGCACCATGATGGTTTCATCAACTCCCACACCACCATTAGGCTCGTTTTCAGTAACTCATCCGAGA